GTTCCTAATCCAGTGCCCATGTTGTGAAGCCATCCGCCTTCTGAGAACACAGGGCCTCTGCAGGGTCTCCAGATGCTCCAGGCAGCTGCTAGTTGAGGAGCTCTCTTCACAACAGGAACCTCACAGAGTCACAGAATTGCAGGGGTTGGAAGGAACCTCTGGAAATCCCCCAGTCCAACACCGCTTAGAGCAGCTTCCCTACAGAATGTTACACAGGAAAGTGTTCAGGCAGGGTTTGAATATCCCTGGAGAAGGAGACTTTACAGCCTCTCTGGGCAACATGTTCCACTGCTCTGTCACTGTCATAGTATCGTTTTTCTTTACGAAATAAAATCATAAAGACCATCCATCAACCCGACCATGTTTTCAGCTAGTTTTTTTATTACATTTCTTATACTGTGTCTTTTCCTTCAATGTTTCTCTGTGTACGCCCTCAGAAGCATTCTGCACTTGTAATGCGCCACCTTACACCTGACCCTCACCCTTCAGATACCGATAACCATTGCTCAGATCCCCTGTCAGCCGCTCTGTTCAGCCTGCAGGATCCTCAGCTTTCCACCACCAGCTGGCGGCCTCACGAGCACAGCAGATTAGCAGCTGCTGGGCCCGGCGGGGCGCGGGCACCGAGTAGCCGTGCTCTCAACGCCGCCACATACGGGCACCGCGCTGCCCGAACGCTCCGCTGCACATCAGGCTCCGTAAAGGGAAACCTGAAGCCGCGCACACAGCCCGGAGGAACGCACTGCCAACACGAGAGAGTCAGCGCCGCCCGACACAGCCGGGGGCGCCACTTCCGGGAGCCGCCTCTATCGCATCCTTGAGCCGCCCTATAACTTCCGGGAGCGTCCGCATCCACTTCGGTGGGACAGCGCCACCTGTGCGCTGGCGGATCAATTTGCCGCCCGGTCAGGGCCGCGGCCTGGAGGCGTGAGTGGGCGCCCCGCGTGGGGCGGGGCGTGCAGGACCGTCAGCCCGTGATTGGCGTCAGGTGTGGGCGATGAGGCCGAGGCGCATTCTGATTGGTGCTCAGTCAACCGGAGCTGAGAACGCAGTGCGCGATTGCAGAGCGAAGTGCTGCGTGAGGACCGGCGGTTGGCGCCGTCGTTCCGTGCTTCCATGGTTCTGTGGTTTCGCAGTTCTGTAGCGCCATGGTTCCGTGGTTCCATGGTTCCTTGGTTCCATGGTTCCGTGGTTCCACAGTCAGGAGGCCGCTGTCACCAACAAGATCTCTGCTTTTTCACCCAGCTCTTAGGAGCTCCTCAGGGCTCAGCAGCCTGAGGTTGCGGTGCAGGCAGCACAGCCACGCGCTGCCGTATGGCTGGAGTGCTCGGGGCAGATGTCCACCGCTCCTTGGTGCTCGATTTTTGGTCCACTGCTGTAAAACAAGGTGGGGGGATCACCATCTGCTGTCCGGGCAGAACTATTCCTCCTCCTTGGAAATAGCCACTCCCATTCATTCCCATATCCCTTATTTTACATCATCTTTCTGCATTCACCGTTTTTTCTTTTGTTTTGAAGACAGGGATCTGTTCCTGCTGCTGCCTGCCAGGCATGCTTTCTATTTTCTGCACTGAACTGCTTTCCTTATCCTTCATACCCTGTTTGGAGGTGTCAGCATCTCTGTGTGCCTTTTCTTAGCACATGCCCCACACAGACATTGTCTTCATGCTGTGATTTTTGAGACCACCTTGAGTGCAGAGAAAAGTTTTTTCTCCCCTCGATGCAGACTGTGCTGGGTTACCACTGCCTTTCACACTGATTACACAACCTTGATACTGTGTAGGATGTCGACTGCCCTCTCGTGGGGCATTGCTTACACGTCTCATGGTCCTGGGCTGAATTTCCACCCCCAATGGAAACGCTCAAGAAGGGGAGGCCCATCTCCTGACTGGCTGCCGGCCATGGGACAGCTCTCCTTGATGCGACTGAGCCCTTTTTGAAGGTGAGATGCTCTCTGCTCAGCAGGAGGGGACAAGCCCTGTGGAACTGCTCTGCCTGCAGCCCCCAGCATGGGACATGGATGGATCTGGGCCAAGACACGTGTCCCCATCTCTGTCCAAGCACACTGGGGCAAATCAGGCCAGTATGGGGTACAATCCTGGGCTCTCCATGGTGGCACACGGAAGGACCTGAAGGAATCCTTATGCAAACCATGCCCTCGGGAAGAAGCACTGCCTCCCTGTCCTTCTGCCTCCCCTGCCTCTCATCTCCCTGCCCTGACACACTGAGGCCAGAGGGGGAGGTGATGACACACCTTGTTTCCTTGACATCACTCCATACTTTCACTTTCTAGGGAAGTGACACAGGCGGAAGAATTGTGGGCAGCTGCCTGTTTCCGTCCAAACATCTGCAGCCCCGAGTCTTATGCCTCTCACCCACAGACATCACCGTGTTTCAGGAGGCTGAAAGTGGCAAAGCAAAGATGGCAGAGACCACGCTCAGCTCCACATTCTTCATCCGTGTGAAGTCCTTGTCAGGAAAATATATTTTTGTGCTGCTGTCTTTGGACGACACGGTGCTGGACCTAAAGATGAAGCTATTTGCACTGGATAGCTATTTCTATCCTTCTGAGTCAATACTGATTCATGATGGCCAGGAGTTATCGAACGAACTAACTCTCAGACATTACAACATCACCTCCAACAGCATTGTACACCACGTTCTTAGGTGTAAGTACCAGGCCAGAGGAGGGGAGCGGCATGGGAGCAGGCTGGCCTCTGGCTGCTAAGGGAAAGGGGCAAGAGGACCATCAGGCATGGAGTCCTGTGTCTTGGGAGGGAAGAACTGGGAGGAGAGGGCAGAAAGGAAAATGGATGTGGGGCAATGCTTCCCCTGATGTGACCGGGCTCCTGAGCTCTCGTCTGCTCTGTGTTGCTCGTGCCATGTGAGGTGGTGGTTCAGCTCCCTTAAAGGGCAAGGAAGATGTCTCAGGCAAGATTACCGTCCTCACTGGCACTCTTGTGGAGGAAGGGGATCTGCATGGGTGTTGACTGTGTGTCCACTTCATTTGTGGAAGTTGTGATAAACCTGGGAGTATCTGGTGGTGCACCAGGGGACTGTGTAGCCAATGGGATAGGGAAGACTGGGTGAAGGTAGGATGGCTTCATTTTGGGTGGAAAAGACCCGTTCTGGGAACAAATTCTTCCAGACATCCAGCGTGAATTTAGCCAGTTCCAAACTCATATGCGCGTCACCCAATCAAAGAGATCAACACTATCCTCAGCAGCATCCTCCTTTCAGGTGATTGCAGTGAGTTGTGAGACAATGATCATCTTTTTTTTCCAGCCACAGGTTATCAAGAACCAGAAATGGAACTACAGGGCAGTCCAGCAGACATCACCTCAAGGCTAGTAAATCAGGGTCTGGCAGGTGTCATTCCAAGAGCAGAATTTCAGGGCCCTCAGGCAGGCATCTCCTCAAGGATAGAAAGTCAGGGCCCTCTGACAATCATCAACTCAAGGACGTATAATGTGGGCCCTATGGCATGCATCACCTCAAGAATAGTAATGGAGGGCGGTCCAGCACGTATTGCCTCACAGATAAAAAGGCAGGGCAGTCCGGCAAGCGTCACCTCAACAAGAGCAATGGTAAGGTCCAGTGGGATGCCTGAGACCTGGGACAGAGGGAGGAGTGTGACAGGGCTGGACAGCAGGCAAGACTTTGCACCATGAGCCCACAGCCATCCCCACTGGGATCTGTGGCACTCAGTGTCCTGCAGCAGGGCTGGCCTGTGCTGCATCCAGGAGGCCTCTCCTCGTACCCCTGGCAAGCAAGCATGGCTGAGAGGAGAATTATGGCTTGGGAGTGCTCTTCCTGTGTTCCCTTCTCCAGGAAATCCAGAAATGGCCACAGTCAGATGTCCCAGCAGAGGAGAGAAGCTGTCGCTGTGTGAGGCAGGTAAGGGTCCTTGCCTGCAGCTCTGCTCTGCACCGGCCTAACAGGTCCTCACTGAGCCTGCATGCCTCGAAAATGTCCCATGCCTACCTCAGATCACAGGATGGTTGCCAGTCATTTTCCTGGCCTCTTCTCTGATGAGTGATGTTTTCTGGACAGCACACAGCATGGTCTGTAGTCCTCTTGTTCTGAAGAGGTAAAAGAATCACAATATGCCGGATACAAAACCACAGCAAGAAATTAAAGCACTGGGAACCTTTCATGAGCGTTCCTTTGCTGAACAGCTACTTCCCACCATGTCACGTGTCTGAGAAAGAGCAGAAGGTGTCTGGGGCTGCTTGGTGACAGGCAGATGAGAGAAGGCACCATGCTTGGTCACCTTCGGCCATGTGACAGAGCCTGCACATCGAGAACTGGTTCTGCAACCAGGCCACCAGGCACCTCACTTGCACCAGGCCCCTGCTGCTTTCATGCTGACTGTCCTTCATCATCCTTTCTTCTTTTTAGTTCTCTGCTCTGGACACAGAACAAAAATACCAAAATAACATTGCTTGGGCAAAGCTGATCATTACCCTGCTGCTGCTTGTGTGGTTCACAGCTCATGGGCCAACCTGCACTGTGCTTCACTGCAGTACGCCTCCTGCAAGCGGCATCCACTGCACAACACCCCATTCAGCTCCAAACCAGTTGCACTTGTGTTGCAGGAATTTCAAGAAGTGAGGCCGAAGATAGATCCACATATTTTGGAGGAACAAAACACATACAAGTAAGAGCTCCTAGGAGAAGTGGGAACACTTTCCAAAAGCCCTCATCACACATGGTGCGAGCCTGCCTTCTCTCCCACTTGCAGAGCTTGTCTCCCTGGACCAGGCATCTTCCAGTGCTCTGAGACGGGCCTTGCCTTCGAGGTGGAGTCAGCATCCAGCATCGTGTACAGATATGCCTCCTGGAGCACGCATCTGAAAGAGGCTGACCAGAATGTGTGGGTACCTGCTGGGCCTCTTTTCAACATCGGGGCGCTGCCTGGAACCGTGCGAGCTGTGTATCTCCCCCACTTCATCTGCCTGTCAGGTATGGCAGCCATGGGACCTGCTCCAGTCACAGCCCCCTGCTGCTCAGGCGCCTGGGTTGTCCCAGGCTGCTTTCCCTCAGCCTCCAATCCCTGTCTGCCAGGGATACTTCCAGGACCTATACACACAACACACACATAACAGCAACTTACCAAAGCATCTTCTTAGGATCTCCATTAAGATTGATCCAAATTTTCTCCTCCCTTCAGAGGTAGCCTGTGCTTTCTAGTATTCTTCCACCTTGCTTTGCCATCCTCCATCCTTTTTTAACGTTATATTGAAACTTCACAGTGCTCCCTTTCCCACCACCTGCTCTGCACTCACACCACTGCATTCTCCTCCCCTCTTCTCACAGTGGCTGTGGAGACCCACAAGGTTCTGCCCCAGATCCGCAGCAGTCTCAAGCTGCTACCTCAAATTTGCAGTTTTCTGAGCCCAAAGGTGGGCAATCAAAGAACTGTAATACCAAGCCACGCACAGGAACCGTGTAAATCTCAGGGTATACATCACCCCTAAAGCAGAGCATGTCATTTTGTATTGGTTTGTGTCTCCTTTTTTCTAATAAATCCTCAAAGAGAAAGAGGTAACCTGGTAGGGTGCAAGGAAGACAAAGCAGAACCTTGTTGCCTTTGCTGTCTCTTTCAGATGTAGACATCAGTGGGTGCTCGATTGCCCATTTTGAATTCCAGAAGATGACCATACAGCAACCAACAGAAGTGATGGCCTTCTCCGCAGTCCTGGAGAATCCCAGCTTCTCTCTTCTTGGAGTGGTTTGGAGAAAGTTACGTTCAGCCATTTCTCTCCCTGTGCACTCCTTAGTGCTGATCTTCCAACAGCTCTCCGCTGCAAATACAACCCTGCATCTCTACCTGATCCCAGATGACAGCTCTGTGAAGAAGGTAAGGTGGAGGGAGCTTGACCAGTTCAGGGGATGGCATCTGGGGCGGCTGGAGTTTCAGGGAATGGATTTGTTAAGCAGAGAGCTCTCTCAGGAATCTCTGTGTTTTTGGCTGGGACAGCATATCCCAGCATGAGCAAAGACATGGCACAGGATGCTCTGCGACGTGGAGCAGAGCACATGTCAGACATGTGGCTGCTGCCATGCACAGTAATAGGTGGCTGCATAGCAGATGCTCTCCTGTTGCATGCAGCCCTTACCCTCTGATAGCACTGCCTTCAATGCACATTCAGGGCTTTGTTCTGACAGGTTGGTCTCTTCTCTTCTTGATTTTCCAAGGTCAGTGAGAGCTACCTCCAGCTCACAGCTGTTTTTTTCAACACTCAAAAGTGATCCTTGATGTTTACAGGCCATTGAAAGACAAGAGACAAGCTGGAACTCAAAGCTTATTCCCAAGCCTTCTCCATTCCGTCCCCTGTTTTTTGGCCACAGATACCAGGTGTGCAGTAACACTCAAGTGAAGATTACACCTGAAGTAAGTGGGACAGTTTCCTTTTTTAAATTATTTTGGTTTTGAGTGAAACAGAAAGTTCCACAGCTTCTCTGGGCCTCCAGTTCAGCATAGTAATCTTTAACCTACTATCTAATCAGAATTTCAGAGTTGTCTCAGCCTCTGTACATTACCTCATCTCATCACTGTACAGTTCCAAGAGGCTCTACCTTTTCTTAACACTATTGAAAACAATGATTAGTTCTTTTCTTTGCCCTTTCTTCTCCAGGAAAAAAAAAAAACCAAGTCCCTCTGCCACTGCTTGAACGTCACGTTCTCCAAATTGCAGTAGTGGTGCAACGCTCAGAGAACATAAAAATGGTGGTAAAATCTCTGCTCTTTAAGGCTTTCAGTATTCTGCTCGACCAAACCAACGCTGAGCCCATCTAGAGTTGGCAACACAGTCCTTCTGTGAAGGACAACAGATGAGACACTCCAGAGTTCCATGCCTCTCACACTTTTCTCTTTGTTTCTGTGTGGCCTGGAAGCATGAGATGATGTTTGTAAATTCACAGCTCCACAGGGTAAGACCCAACTTCCATCTTATCTCTACAGGCACACTTACCATTTTGCTACAAGAGTCCAGAGGACCAACAGCTCTTTGTTGAGATCTACATCAGGAAAATGGCAAAGGAAGTGGAATTCTTTATCACAGATGGACAGAATGACACCGAGGTCTGGAGGGCATCGCTGAGATCAGGTAGGATCAGATCCATCTGTAAGGGGGATTGAGATGATGGCACACTGAGCTGCACTTCTTGTGACAGCAAAAAGAGAAGCTCAGATACTCTGAGTGCACGGTATGGAATTGTGCCTTGGGATTCCCTCTCTGTTAGGCTAATTCTGCACCCCTAAACAAACACCTGCAAATGTACACAACACTGCACCCTGCTTAGCTGAGCTCTTAACAGATGGGCAAGGAATACTGTAAGCAGGAATTAATGGCTAATGGGTCCATGGAACATCAGGCATCTCAGTAAGGCTTCTAGAAACGGTCTCCATTTCTGTGATGGTGTATTTCATAAGCTCCCTCCTTTCTCTTTCAGGTGATATTAGTCATTCTGGAAACAAATCCAAAAAGCTTTCAGGTCAGTACGGGTTTTCAGAGCTACAGTTATTGAGTCTGAATATTTATTTGGGGATTTCAATCTTCTGGCTTAAAGCAGATAACCAACCACCTTTTTCCCATACCTGTGACTCTTTCATGACAAAAAAAAATTGTAAAGCTTTTATTATTTCACTGCTGCCTGCATGCTCTCTAACCTGGCATAGTGTTGAGGACCCTCCAAACTGTTTTGCTTTCTCTGTGATCAGACTTACTTCTATAGAGAATGAGCTACAGCTAGTACAGTTCACAGCCCAGAAATATTTCATGGGACTTTCAAAATCTGGTGGAGTTGGAGCATCTCATACCTTATCACAGAGCCAGTGCTTCCCTCTTCCTTCAATACCGTAGGATCACTGGAAGGGACGGTCCCTGGGCTGTCACCAACCTGACCTCCCTCAGCTCGGGCCCTGTCCTTGCCTTGGCTCCAATGCTTCCACCGCTGATGAGGGAGCTTTCTTCTGGTGGCTCAGCCTCCTGGCCAGAGAGCAGCACTGCTGGTGCACTGGAGGGAATGGGAGCACGTGGCTGTGGGACAGAGCAAACGGCCCTTGCGTGTGTTGGCTAGGATGCAGAGTACCACAGCAGGAACCAACCTGCCTTGTCACGTGCAGCACAGTAACACACACTTTGGTATCTGCTAGGTGCAGCCTTCCTGAAGAAGCACAAGACAGAGCTTTGTTCCAGGATGGGGCAGCTCTCCTCCATTCTGCTAAATTTAAGTGTTGAAGACGTAATCAACAGTGAAGAAGAAGAGGAGGTACAAGCTCAAAATACAAAACAAAAGAAGAATCAATTTCTGCTGGACCTAGTTGAGAAAAAAGGGCTCAAGGCCCAAGAGATGCTCTTTCAGATCCTCCAGAAAAAAGACCGATTTCTTGTTGAAGACCTGCAGAAAGCTAAGACAGAGGACATTGACAGATTAAGGAAGTGACAGGAGAGTCAGGCAAAAGGAGGGATTTGTCTGTGCGTGAATCCTGACCTTTCCATGCAAAATCCATGATACAAAGCAATGTCTCAGCCTTCTGAGCAACCAACTGCCAGGCCTGCTTCCCTTACCTGATGTGCTCACTACAAGAGGACTGTCGATCACCACTGAGAAGCTGCTGAAAAGAGAAACCTTAGTTCCTAATCCAGTGCCCATGTTGTGAAGCCATCCGCCTTCTGAGAACACAGGGCCTCTGCAGGGTCTCCAGATGCTCCAGGCAGCTGCTAGTTGAGGAGCTCTCTTCACAACAGGAACCTCACAGAGTCACAGAATTGCAGGGGTTGGAAGGAACCTCTGGAAATCCCCCAGTCCAACACCGCTTAGAGCAGCTTCCCTACAGAATGTTACACAGGAAAGTGTTCAGGCAGGGTTTGAATATCCCTGGAGAAGGAGACTTTACAGCCTCTCTGGGCAACATGTTCCACTGCTCTGTCACTGTCATAGTATCGTTTTTCTTTACGAAATAAAATCATAAAGACCATCCATCAACCCGACCATGTTTTCAGCTAGTTTTTTTATTACATTTCTTATACTGTGTCTTTTCCTTCAATGTTTCTCTGTGTACGCCCTCAGAAGCATTCTGCACTTGTAATGCGCCACCTTACACCTGACCCTCACCCTTCAGATACCGATAACCATTGCTCAGATCCCCTGTCAGCCGCTCTGTTCAGCCTGCAGGATCCTCAGCTTTCCACCACCAGCTGGCGGCCTCACGAGCACAGCAGATTAGCAGCTGCTGGGCCCGGCGGGGCGCGGGCACCGAGTAGCCGTGCTCTCAACGCCGCCACATACGGGCACCGCGCTGCCCGAACGCTCCGCTGCACATCAGGCTCCGTAAAGGGAAACCTGAAGCCGCGCACACAGCCCGGAGGAACGCACTGCCAACACGAGAGAGTCAGCGCCGCCCGACACAGCCGGGGGCGCCACTTCCGGGAGCCGCCTCTATCGCATCCTTGAGCCGCCCTATAACTTCCGGGAGCGTCCGCATCCACTTCGGTGGGACAGCGCCACCTGTGCGCTGGCGGATCAATTTGCCGCCCGGTCAGGGCCGCGGCCTGGAGGCGTGAGTGGGCGCCCCGCGTGGGGCGGGGCGTGCAGGACCGTCAGCCCGTGATTGGCGTCAGGTGTGGGCGATGAGGCCGAGGCGCATTCTGATTGGTGCTCAGTCAACCGGAGCTGAGAACGCAGTGCGCGATTGCAGAGCGAAGTGCTGCGTGAGGACCGGCGGTTGGCGCCGTCGTTCCGTGCTTCCATGGTTCTGTGGTTTCGCAGTTCTGTAGCGCCATGGTTCCGTGGTTCCATGGTTCCTTGGTTCCATGGTTCCGTGGTTCCACAGTCAGGAGGCCGCTGTCACCAACAAGATCTCTGCTTTTTCACCCAGCTCTTAGGAGCTCCTCAGGGCTCAGCAGCCTGAGGTTGCGGTGCAGGCAGCACAGCCACGCGCTGCCGTATGGCTGGAGTGCTCGGGGCAGATGTCCACCGCTCCTTGGTGCTCGATTTTTGGTCCACTGCTGTAAAACAAGGTGGGGGGATCACCATCTGCTGTCCGGGCAGAACTATTCCTCCTCCTTGGAAATAGCCACTCCCATTCATTCCCATATCCCTTATTTTACATCATCTTTCTGCATTCACCGTTTTTTCTTTTGTTTTGAAGACAGGGATCTGTTCCTGCTGCTGCCTGCCAGGCATGCTTTCTATTTTCTGCACTGAACTGCTTTCCTTATCCTTCATACCCTGTTTGGAGGTGTCAGCATCTCT